ATCTTCTCTGTAAATATTTGTATTGCACCTGTTTGACCTTTTTAGTAATAAATTTCTCTTTCTGAAAGTGTTGAACTGTTTCTATAGCTCTTAATTGCAATTTACGAATCCCTGCCTTTAAAGAGACGCTACTGTTTGTTTTAACCCTCTGTATAACAGGCCTGTATTATGACCAGGTTATGCAGTCGATTATATCAACCATTATAGTGTTATAGCTGAACGCCGAGTTTCCTCTTTCTCTGATCAAAAAGGAGGTGGTGGCAGTGTGAAGGGGTTAATTGCGTAATTAACCTGACCCAGTAGCAATCGATTCAGGCTGCTGGCACATCAAACGGTATCCATTAGCTGGAAAATCGTTGTGCAGGGTGCAGCTGGGTGTGGCATTGTTACGCACCTCACATCGCGGTTGTAGATCGGTTAGCCCTTCAGTCACGACTTTGGTGAGAAGGCCTGGGGTCTGACGCCGCGATCGTGACAGGGACAGGGGACTCTTCCCCACAACCCTGGGCGGTGGTTGTGGGGATCTTCTTTAACAAGGGTGCCCTAGATCCCAGTCCCCTCATTTGAATGAGTATGGGGTACAGAGTAAGAGGTAAAACGCTTAAGGAAGGCTGCTTTAAAGTGTTGTCTGCAAAGCAGATTACAGGTTTGGATTTTGTAGATTTTCAGAGCAGTGAATTTGCTCATCACTAATGACTATAAAGCTAGCAAATTATTATGATATTGGAAAAATACAGCTGACAAATTAAGGATGATCTGTAATGTAAAATACCAACATGCCCTAAAACTATCTCTTTTTTTAATATGATTTAGAATTAATGTGTCTTGTTGGGCTTCCTGCCCAATGAAACTGTCAGTCACTTGTGTGACTGATGAGTCTTCATTTGCGAAGTTGCAATCAAGGATTAAAAATCTTATACAGACCTTCATCATTACAAAGAGGGTGTTCTCATGAACATGCAATGAATCCTCTAGCTGAAATGAAATTAGATATATGAGATGAACAACTGATTTTGTTTTCCGCTGACATTCTTCGATCTGTTAATCTGTCTCTGCTTATAATGCTATGGCTTTAGTTCATTATACACATCACAGCTGGGGAAGCATCCTTCAATAATTGCAAGTATTCTCCAGTGTCTCACTTAAATCAGAATTGTGTTAGTTCCATCTCATAATCCACGGAGTGACACCAAGCTTCACAAGAACTTCCACTTAATATACAGAGGGGTTTACAAATCCTAAATGATGGTCTTTTCCTAAAACTTAATGTATAAAATTAGATTGCACCTTATGTGATTATATGCATGACCATAAACCTTGTGGATCATGATCATAGACTTACTTGAGATACAATGAGTGCATTGATTTTTGTTTTAGGGCATACTAGTGGTCTCTGTAGCTGAGTTATATAATGAACTGTCAATACTTGTCCAGAAAGCTGTAAATTACATACTGCCATATACAGCAAGGAATTGAAGAGTGTTAAAACAATCGTAACAAATTTCTAACACTTTGCATACTGCTGTTATCTAGCTTTACAAAAGGTTTCCCTGTTGTGCTACGAAGATTCTCTTGACCTACAGTATATCACTTGCATTGTAACCTTGAATACAATAATAATATAATATTCACACTTATGTGGTGTCTTTGTAGTCAAAACGTTTTGCTGATGAATATTTCAGCATAATTTCTGAAATATAGAAAAATCTCTGGAAAATGTATGTTAATTTTGAAAAATCTTTTATAATTTGATGCTGCAAAATAAAATAAATGTAACCAAATCTGCTAAACCTTTGTTTATTTCACAGAATAGATCTATAACATGTTAGGATTGTAGCCGGTGCTCGGCTGGCTGCTGGAGGAGCAGGCTGTGTGTGTCTCGGCCTGCTCCCCTCCTTTCTCCCCTCCCCCCACCATTGTGTACCCAGATTTGCTTGGCCGACTGAATGTGTGAGAAGCCTGATTGTGTGTGTGAGAAGTGCCGGGCTGTTTTTGGCTGGGATGCAATCAGGGCAAGTGATGATGTCCATTGAAGCCATTGAGGACTCTGGGACATGTAGTCCTCCAGCAGTGCAAAGCAATACAAGTGAATTGAGCTATAGACTTTGATACCCATTCCCAGGACACAGGGGAGGAGAGTACAGGAGTTTCCTGCAGACCTGTTGCTGTCTGCATCTGCACACCCACTGAGAAAGAGAGAGCTTGTGAAATCTGAGCCAGAGCCACTGACGACCTGCATGAGGACCAGATTCCTGAGCGCTGGGCTTGAGCTGTGCAAACTTTGAAATGGTGTGTGTCTACAATATTGCTTGGAGACCTGTTTCCATGAGTGCCCACAACCAGTGAAAAACCTGATGGTGAGGACTAAGGCTTCTGGGACAACTGACTGCCAAGCATATGGGACTTGACCTGTTGCATACAAGGAGTGGTGAGTGGGACAAACCCAGCCTAATCCCTTACTACCCAGAGTTAACTCCAATAGAAACTGCCCTTTACCTAGCAGCCTGTCAATCCTCCATCGTGTGTAGTCTTAAAGGGAAAACTTCATTGCACCACTTTAAATAAATTGTCCCCAGCGCAAACGCAATGCAGTGTCAGTTGTGGACCACGTGCAGTTCCAAAAAACATGCAAGTCCAACTGTATCTGGTGTAAGGCAGTGTAATGTTATATCATGTAAAAAGCTCCAATACCATGTCCAGCTGAGGTAATAAGCAGGAAAGTTAGAAAGTCACCAGGAAGCTCAATGAGACAAAAAGTCCCCAATAAAAGCAATTTTCTTTATTACACAAACAGCCACTCAGGGATCAGGGATCAGTGTGCTATACACACTGTTGCTGAATTATGCTCCATCTGTGGCCACCACCAGGGGGCTCAGGGTGAGACACAGATGATACTGCTGAGAGAGAAGATAAACCTGGCAAAGACTGGATGGAAAATAGACTCCATTGCAAGAGGCACAAAGAACCACTGGTGTATCTGACATGGTTGGCCCAGCAGTTCTTTTGGGGATTATGGTTTGATATGGTTTTTGGTCCAAGTTTGCTATCTTAGTCTTGGCGTCATCACCACTACATTTTATTATATGTGCACCACTTAACAAATGGGCCCCAACAACAGGTGGAATAGAACTGATAATTAGGTGTCTGATACTTTGTAGACATTCTCAGGGGTACCCACCCACTCTTGGTGGTGTATGCGTATAGCACACTTGGGGACATGTTTTGAATAGCTATTTCCAAGAGTTACAGTAAGACTGAGACTGTGTACCATACATGCTTTCACAGTTGATTTTGTTCTTACCAATGCTGTGTACTTGTCAGGAATGGACTGGCCAGCAATGGTGGGACTCACCTGCCTTATGAGCTGCAGTACCAGGGCTGGCCAGCGGGTGCTCCCAGCAATCAGAGACTCAACCTTGCAGCCAGTCAAACACCTGGAACTGATTATACTGGTGTATTTAAGGGATGGCCAGACCTGCAGACTCTGCCTTGGTGTGTGTTTCTCCTGGGCCCTGTATCCTGTTCCTGCTCCCTGTTCCTGTTCCTGTCTGATTCGTTGCTGACCCTGCTCTGATCCCTGGCTTTGTCTGACCATTCTCCTGCTCCTGATCCCTGGCTTGTCTGACCATTCTCCTCTGCCTGACCCTCTGTACCACGCTGCCCGCTACCTGCTGAACCTGGCTTGTGACCCCGACCATTCTCCGCTTGCTCCCCCTGTACCTACCTGCTCGATTGATATTGACCCGGCCTGCCTGACGACGCTTGCATTGTATGTACTGTCATCTGTGGGTGGTTGGTTTGGTTTGTTTGCACTGTGTTATGTTTTAGTATTGCACTGCGTTTATGTTTGTATTGTTAGTGTTAATAAATTATATTGTTTATAACATATCTGAAGTCTGCGTTTCCCTGCGTCAGTCACACACCTCTGGTCATACCGGGAGCCCTGACATTACACCAAGGCCAATCCTGACCAGAAGTGGCTGCACAGGGAAGCCATCTTGGTTTGTTGATGGGAAGGATGGATCTTGATGAGGTTGTGTATTTATATCTGCTAGTGTTTGATGACAGAGAGTATGCTTATCAAACTCTGAAGGAGTATCCCCGGGATGAACTGCTAGAATGTATACGGCTCGCTCATGTTCTAGTAGATCAGGGCACAGAATTCTCTGAGGTGCAGCCATTGATTCAGGTTTGTGCGGAGTTGGTTTCATCTGGTACCCCGAATGCAGGGATGAATTTTTGCCGCCATTTAGTGCCGACCAGGTAGAGTCCCTGGTGTGGTTATTGGATTGCTTCTTGGAGCATTATGCTGCATGTTCACCACAGATACTAAGAGATTGTATAAACGCAGTGCAGTCTTTGGTCAGACATGCTTTGTGTAAGCTCAGCTTTGTTCAACCCATACTGCATACATGGACAGATTTGTTGCACCCAGCCTCAGTCAGCCTACAAAAACCCAGTCCTGCTTCTAATCTATTACCTCAAAGCTCTATTCCTGCATTCCCAACAGCTCCTCCTGCCCTGCTATCTACCGCATGTCAGTACCCTGTTCCCACTCGCTGCACCTATCCTGCCTTTAACCCTGTAAAAAAGCCCTCTGTAGCAACTGCTCCCTCCTCTGTTCCATCCTCCAGCTCTTCTCTGTCTCCAGCTGCTCCATTCGTTTGCAGACCTGCGTTTACTTGCAGTGCTTCCAGTAGTTAAAACCAGAAAAAAGCGAAAATTCTTTCCAACCAGTACCATCCTGCCAGTATCCAAACCGGTGAGCCTGCCGTCTGAGAACCTATCTTCCGTGGTTCAGCCTGGTGCCTCGGCACCCGCACTTCAGCCTGAGGTCTGTACCCAGCCTGAGCCTGTCCTGATGCCTGTACCCAGCCTGATGCCTGTACCCAGCCTGATGCCTCTCTTCAGCCTGATGCCTCTCCTCAGCCTGATGCCTCTCCTCAGCCTGATGCCTCTACCCAGCATGATGAACTGATCCAGCCTGATGATCCTATTAGGCCAGTTGACTCGATGCCCGCTGTTGATCCAGATGATTCGGTACCTGATCCGGTGCCCGCTGTCGTGCCAATTGACTCAGAGCCCGCTGTCGTACCTGGTGACTCGGTGCCCACTGCCTTGCCAGATGACGCGGTGCCCGCTGGCGAGCCAAATGACCTGATGCCTGGTGACCCAGTGCCCGCTGTCATACCTGGTGACCCGATGCCCGCTGTCGAGCCAGACGATCCAATGCCTGGTGACCCGGTGCCCACTGCCTTGCCAGATGACGCGGTGCCCGCTGGCAAGCCAAATGACCTGATGCCTGGTGACCCAGTGCCCGCTGTCATACCTGGTGACCTGATGCCCGCTGTCAAGCCAGACAATCCGGTACCTGATGACCCGGTGCCCGCTGTCGTGCCAATTGACTCAGAGCCCACTGTCGTGCCTGGTGACTTGGTGCCCACTGTCTTGCCAGATGACGCGGTGCCCGCTGTTGAGCCAAATGACCTGATGCCTGGTGACCCGATGCCCACTGTCCAGCCAGACGATCCAATGTCTGACCCAGTGCCTGCGGTCATACCAGTTGACTCGGAGCCCACTGCCTTGCCAGATGACGCGGTGCCCGCTGTCGAGCCAAATGACCTGATGCCTGGTGACCCGATGCCCGCTGTCCAGCCAGACGATCCAATGTCTGACCCAGTGCCAGCGGTCATGCCAGTTGACTCGGAGCCTACTGTCATGCCTGGTGACTCGGTGCACGCCGCTCCGCCTGGGGGCCCGAGACCTGTCGCTCCGCCTGGGGGCCCGAGACCTGTCGCTCCGCCTGGGGTTCCCGCCCGCCGCTCTGCCTGGGGGCCCGCCCCGCCGCCTCTGCCCGCCTGGGGGCCCGATACCTGTCGCTCCGCCTGGGGGTCCGGCGCCCGCCGCTCCGCCTTGGGGCCCGAGACCTGTCGCTCCGCCTGGGGGCCTGAGACCTGTCGCTCCGCCTGGGGGCCTGAGACCTGTCGCTCCGCCTGGGGGTCCGGCGCCCGCCGCTCCGCCTGGGGGCCCGAGACCTGTCGCTCCACCTGGGGGTCCGGCGCCCGCCGCTCCGCCTGGGGGCCCGAGACCTGTCTCCGCCTGGGGGTCCGGCGCCCGCCGCTCGCCTGGGGGTCCGGCGCCTGGCTCCGCCTGGGGGCCCGAGACCTGTCGCTCCGCCTGGGGGTCCCGCGCCCGCCGCCTGGGGGCCCGAGACCTGTCGCTCCGCCTGGGGGTCCGAGACCCGCCGCTCCGCCTGGGGGTCCGGCGCCCGCTCCGCCCTGCCCCGCCGCTCTGCCTGGGGGCCCGAGACCTGTCGCTCCGCCTGGGGGCCTGAGACCTGTCGCTCCGCCTGGGGGCCTGAGACCTGGCTGGGGGCCTGAGACCTGTCGCTCCGCCTGGGGGCCTGAGACCTGTCCTCCGGGGGGGCCGGACCTGTCGCTCCCTGGGGGGTCCGGCGCGCCCGCCGCTCCGCCTGGGGGCCCGAGACCTGTCGCTCCGCCTGGGGCCCCGGCACCCCCGCTCCGCCTGGGGGCCCGATGCCTGTCGCCCCGCCTGGGGGCCTGAGACCTGTCGCTCCGCCTGGGGCCTGAGACCTGTCGCTCAGCCTGGGGCCCTGGCGCCCGCCGCTCCGCCTGGGGGGCCCGGCTCTGCCCGCCCTGCGCCCGCCTGGGGGTGAGACCGGCGCCCGCCGCCCTGAGACCTGCCGCCTGGGGGCCCGAGACCTGTCGCTCCGCCTGGGGGTCCGGCGCCCGCCGCTCCGCCTGGGGGCCCGAGACCGCTGTCCGCTCCCCGCCCTGGGGGTCCGCCCCGGAGACCTGTCGCTCCGCCTGGGGGACCTGTCGCTCCGCCTGGGGGTCCGGCGCCCGCCGCTCCGCCTGGGGGCCTGGCGCCCGCCCCGCCTCCGCCTGGGGGCCTGAGACCTGTCGCTCCGCCTGGGGGCCTGAGACCTGTCCTGTCGCTCCGCCTGGGGGCCCGAGACCTGTCGCTCCGCCTGGGGGCCTGAGACCTGTCGCTCCGCCTGGGGTCCGGCGCCCGCCGCCTGAGTCCTGTCACTCCGCTCCGCCTGGGGGCCTGAGACCTGTCGCTCCGCCTGGGGGCCTGAGACCTGTCCGCTCCACCTGGGGGCCTGAGACCTGTCGCTCCGCCTGGGGGCCTGAGACCTGTCGCTCCGCCTGGGGGCGCTCCGACGCCCGCCGCTCCGCCTGGGGGTCCCGAGCCTGGGGGCCCGCTGTCGCCGCCTGGGGGTCCGGCACCCGCCGCTCCGCCTGGGGGCCCGAGACCTTCGCTCAGCCTGGGGGCCCGAGACCTGTCGCTCCGCCTGGGGGCCCGAGACCTGTCGCTTGTCGCTCCGCCTGGGGGGGGCCCGGCGCCCGCCGCTCCGCCTGGGGGCCCGAGACCTGTCGCTCCGCCTGGGGGCCCGAGACCTGTCGCTCCGCCTGGGGGCCCGAGACCTCCGGTGCCCGAGACCGCTCCGCCTGGGGGCCCGAGACCTGTCCGAGACCTGTCGCTCCGCCTGGGGGTCCGGCGCCCGCCGCTCCGCCTGGGGGCCCGAGACCTGTCGGCCCGAGACCTGTCGCTCCGCCTGGGGGTCCGGCGCCCGCCGCTCCGCCTGGGGGCCCGAGACCTGTCGCTCCGCCTGTCCGCTCCGCCGCTCCGCCTGGGGGCCCGATGCCTGTCGCCCCGCCTGGGGGGGCCCGATGCCTGTCGCCCCTCCTGGGGGGGCCCGATGCCTGTCGCCCCTCCTGGGGGCCCGATGCCTGTCGCCCCGCCTGGGGGCCCGGTGCCCCCTCCTGCCCGATGCCTGTCGCCCCCGCCTGGTGGGAGCCCGGTGCCTGCTGCTCCCGCCTGGTGGCCCGGTGCCTGCTGCTCCGCCTGGTGGCCCACTGCCTGCTGCTTCGCCTGGTAATCCGATGTGCCTCTGCCCGGAGTCCAGCCCGATGTGCCTCTGCCCGGAGTCCAGCCCGATGTGCCTCCCGGAGTCCAGCCCGATGTGCCTCTGCCCGGAGTCCAGCCCGATGTGCCTCTGCCCCGGAGTCCAGCCCGATGTGCCTCTGCCCGGAGTCCAGCCCGATGTGCCTCTGCCCGGAGTCCAGCCCGGTGTGCCTCTCCGGTGTGCCCCTGCCCGGTGTGCTGCTGCCCGGAGTCCTGCCTGGTGTGCCGCTGCCCGGAGTCCTGCCCGGTGTGCCAGTCTTTGATATCCCGCCAGTTACCAGACCCGGGCGGTGGAACATTTTGCCCAGCTAGGACTGTTTGGAGCGTCCTGAGGCCGCTCCTTGAGGGGGGGTACTGTCAGGAATGGGACTGGCCAGCAATGGTGGGACTCACCTGCCTTATGAGCTGCAGTACCAGGGCTGGCCAGCGGGTGCTCCCAGCAATCAGAGACTCAACCTTGCAGCCAGTCAAACACCTGGAACTGATTATACTGGTGTATTTAAGGGATGGCCAGACCTGCAGACTCTGCCTTGGTGTGTGTTTCTCCTGGGCCCTGTATCCTGTTCCTGCTCCTGTCTGATTCATTGCTGACCCTGTTCTGATCCCTGGCTTTGTCTGACCATTCTCCTGCTCCTGATCCCTGGCTTGTCTGACCATTCTTCTCCTCTGCCTGACCCTCTGTACCACGCTGCCCGCTACCTGCTGAACCTGGCTTGTGACCCCGACCATTCTCCGCTTGCTCCCCCTGTACCTACCTGCCCAATTGATATTGACCCGGCCTGCCTGACGACGCTTGCATTGTATGTACTGTCATCTGTGGGTGGTTGGTTTGGTTTGTTTGCACTGTGTTATGTTTTAGTATTGCACTGCGTTTATGTTTGTATTGTTAGTGTTAATAAATTATATTGTTTATAACATATCTGAAGTCTGCGTTTCCCTGCGTCAGTCACACACCTCTGGTCACACCCGGGAGCCCTGAGAGTACTCTATACTAGTTTAATGGGGTGAAGCCTTATTGCTGTGTAAGTCTATGGCCATAGGTGAGGCTAATATTCCCGTCTGTTATTCTAATGTATTAATTGCCTTGTTCATTGTTTTGTGCATTGTATTTTGCTTACCCTGCTATAATAGATGTAGCACCCTCCTAGGTTGCTTGCTAGGATGTATATAGTCTAGTTTAGTATAGTGTATCCTGCCTAACAGGAGACTGACAGGCAAAACATTGCAGCTTTTCTGCTTAACAGAAAAGCTACAGTTGTTTGGTGAACATGCTGGGTACTAGTATTTATATTCAGTGAGCACATTGAATCTGGGGTCTTCTTCCTATTCCTCTGAAAAGGGAGTTTCAGTCAGGGAGGTGGCTTCCTCCATTGGTTCATGCTGCCAGGAGGCCTCAGGTGGGCGAAGTGAGGGCCAGAATGCTGAAACCCAGGGTGCTTCTGAGGGCTAACTGAGGGGGATGTCTACAGCTCTTGTCTGGTGTCATGGAGGAAGGCAAGGGCCTTGTGAATACAGACCGTTCTACATGGATGCTGGGAATGTTTAACCCCCTCGGGACCTACATTGTCAGCTGCTCTGTGTAAGCTAGAGAGGACACCGGCTGGTGTCCAGAAGAGCAATTGTCCATTAAGTTCTGCAGTTCTACAGAGGGATGTTGCTTGCCCATTCTATGTACAGTCTGCTACACAGATCTACTTAGAGAAAGCTATCCTCAATTGTGTATAGTTCAATTCAGAGTATCCCACTATATCCCCTCCCTATCAACGGTGTATTTTGGTTTTGTGCTGCCCTAGGCAAGACTAAAATCGGTCACCCCCCTATCTAAATTTGTCCCACCCCTTCCTATTTAAGATCTACCCCTTCATCTGTAAACTCCACCCTTCCTCTTTAGGCTCCAACTATTCCAATTAGAGCTCCACCTCTTATTTTATTCCATTATCAGTGTCATTTGGAGGAATAGTACCCCATCATTGGTGTCAGTGGAAGAATAGTGCTCCATCATTGGTGTCAGTGGGAGGAATAGCTCCCCATCATTGGTGTCAGTGGGAGGAATAGCTCCCCATCATTGGTGTCAGTGGGAGGAATAGTGCCCCATCATTGGTGTCAGTGGGAGGAATGCTGTTCCATCATTGGTGTCAGTGGGAGGAATAGTGCCTCATCATTGTTGTCAGTGGGAGGAATAGTGCCCCATCATTGGTGTCAGGGACAGTGATGATGGGGCACTATTCCTCCCACACTGACAGGAATGATGGGGCACTATTACTCCCACTGACACCAATGATGCTTACATTGCTGACCTCTGCTTCAGCCCGAGCTCCCTCCCTCTCCCATCCCCAACCAGCATACCTGGCTGCAGCAGCACCATCTGCTCTGCCCAGATCCCGGCAGCACAGACACTTACCTTACTGATCAGCTGTCTTCCTTCACCGGCTCCTCTCCTTCTCTTCACCGGCTCCAGCTGGCCCCTCACTCTGATCAGCTTCTTTGATCTTCGTGCTGCCGCTCGGCTCCTCCTCTCCAAGCTCTGTCTCCTCGTCGGTGATTGGCCACCTGTGTGCTTTCCCTGAGCTACAGATCCAGCGGCCAATCACCGGTGAGAAGGCGGAGCTTGGAGAGGGAAGGACAGGCTGCCATAGGCTGCCCAGTAATCTTGGGGGTGTGGCTAGATGAGAGGGTCGGCATGTCATCCCGCCCACATCGCAATCCAAGATCCAGGGAGATGAAGACACCGGACGGACACCCTCTCTACCCCTTCTCCAGCAGCACCTCATGGACCTGATCGAAGAGGGACACCGAGTCTTGGAGACAGATAAGACAGGACTGGCAGATATGCCCCTGCTCCCTATCCCAATTCTAAAATAACATCAAAACAACAAAACTACAACCCCTAGACTGATCATTGGAGTACCCATCGGAAGCAGTTTTCACATGGCTATAGGAAATGCTGTGTACTTGGCTGCGGGTAAAGATCTAGGGGAATATACCAGCGGCTCCTATGGGGGTAGCACTACATATACTTACTTTATCTACCATCAAGTCAATTGTGGCCTATTTACTGGATGTTAATATAGTATGATAATACTGTATATTTACATTTAGGTTACAAAGATGTGATCAGCCTTCAACTTACTAACACTGCACCTACTAACATAAACTAGTGTGTCAGTGGTGACCGAGCAGCTTATAGAGTCATGTCAGAGAACAGAGGATCCATCATACCAAGCGAATCCTCTGGGGGTAGCACTACAGGATATAATTATGCATAAGTGCCTAAACTTGATGCAAACTGATACACTTCCTAAAACCTGAAAAAAGCCCTGGGGATTAAGTCGTGTAGGGAGATTTAGGCAATGGAACTAATGAGAATAAAGTAGTTAATGGTTTTGTTGCCCCCCAAAAAAATACTTTGGGTGGATGCAAAGGGCTAAACCACACACTAGCATCTAATAACTCTTGGTTATTTTGGCTATCTTAATTTGAATGCCTCCTTCTATTCAATTATTTATCATTATAGAAAATACAGTTGAAGAATGAGAATGACTTTCTTGTATATGTAATGGCTTTGGGAAAAAGGGGCAAATATGGAAACCCAATCACTACTTAATGCTGGATAAGTAGATTGTGGGTTGACATATCCTTAGCATAGCAAAGGCAGGATAATGGAAAAGGTAAACTAAGCAAGGTTATTTAACAGCTCAGTCAATTTAGCATATTGTAAGTCAACATAATATTAACATTTACATAAATATATATACAGTACATCCTGGATTTCATGATACAATACATGTTTCTATATCCAACACATTTGGATGGTGGTAAAAATAATGGTAATGATGTTGAAAAGGTGGTTGTTATACAAAGATACCAGTTTGTAAGAGATAATATATTGCAATTTCATCAAGTACAAATAAGTAAGAAAGGTTTCATGTAGATAAGCCATTAGTACTATATGTACTACAAGTAAAGTGCTGGTTCTGTAAATGGGTCATTTGAAATGTGTGTGTGTTTTACTCACTATAAACTGTATTTTCTCATCGCTGTCATATATGAGACTGTTAATATATATTTTTTTAGTACTTAATGATTTACAAAACGTTCCACAAATAACAATCACTGGCTAACAAAAGGATGACTTTTTTTCTCAATGTATTCATGCCAGGATTCCGCAGTTCTTTTATTAAAATCCTTAATTTCTGAAGTCTTTTTCCATTACTCATTTTAATAAGCCTGTTCCACATCTGCAGTGTGCAGCTTAGTAAAAAAAAAAAAATATTTAAATGACTTCATATTCAAAAGCCATGTTTTAAATTCTGGAGGATCAGCTTAATTCGATTTGTACATATGGAATCAGAAACAAAAGTTTTAGCATATTATTTTGGAAAGTAAAGCTCTCTCAGTGGAATAACTTGGGAAAAAAAAAAACAAAAAGTGAATAGTGGAAAATGAAAATGACTTTTTAACTACTGATAAAATACCAATCTATTGCTTCTATTTCACACTCCTTTTTAATTATTTTGCAGTGCTGTGAATTCTTTTGATTCGTTCAGATGATTATTTAACTTTTGGAATAAATAATAGGGCAGAAGGGAATGGCTTGCCTATATAGATTTGGTCTATTATTATTTAGGTAACTGTACTTGAAACAAATTTGATTGCAATGAATACCATAGAGAAGGCTGTCTCTCTGAACTGTCCATAACTAATTGGGAATCAATCAAATACTTCTGTGGACTGGATGCATT